GACGATGGCCCTGCTGACGCCGTTGCTCCTCTCTCGCCAGGGCCTTGATCCTCCCCCAAGGTCCCTTGCCCCCGAGCATGTCCTCCCAGGACCACGATTTGTCCACCTGGGCCATCGCCAGCCTCTCGATCTCCTTACCTGGCGCTTCCTCCCATGTCCAATCACCTTGCTCCTGGACACGCTGCTTGGTCCTTTTGTGGTGGGTTTTTCTGTCACGATCGTCTAAGAAAGCGGACCAAGGCGCAGCGTGTTGAGCGAACATGTTGACTTTATTTAATTAAAGCAACCACGAAAACAACAAAACAAATGACGATAGTGAAGTCCACAGTGACAATGACTGAACATGGAACAAAAACCCACAAACATAAGGTGAACACAGACAGTTTAAATATGGCTCCCAATCAGAGATAACGAGCCGACAGCTGACACTCGTTACCTCCGATTGGGAGTCACTCAATACAAACATACAACAACCTAGAAATAGACACAACAGAACTACCAACATTGAAATAAACACATAGAATGCACACACCCTGGCTCAACATAACGAGTCCCAGAACCAGGGTGTGACAGTATTGCATCGTAGGCTACATCTTTGAAAACATTTCTGTTTTCTCATTGAAAAGTTTTTCTTGTTCTCCTGGCCTTCATCTGAGCTTTTAAACTAAATACTAAAACATCTATTGATTTCTGAACGTTTCGGCACTGGGGACTCAGGATTTGGCTGCATTATTGATGTCATGTTAATCAGGCTTTTTGATTTTAACATATGGTTTGTTTTAGTTTTTTAGGTTAGGATAGCTATTTATCTAATTTACGGATCAATCCTTAGCAGTCATTCTGATCTCGTTCCCAATGATCAGTGCTTTAGTTTATTATGTCGTGTCAAGTGATTCCAAATTTGCGATGCACCCGACTGTCCACATCTTACTGTGCAAAAGCCTTTTGATTTAAACATTTGAAAAATGATGGTGTGTCCCCTAGGCTATTTAATTTAATTTATAGATGTTACAGCACACTGTAAAATGTAATTGCTTAACTCATTAAAGAAATTGAGTAGTGGCTACTCAATAATGAGACAAGCCATTCCCCCCATCAA